GTGCTCAATTGAACTTACATCGATTTCCGAATGTTAAGTTCCATTACATTCGGTAGATTGAGTCCAAAGTAATATTGGGATAACCATAAGCTTTCTGTTTGAATGTCCTTTCAAATTACTTTCTGCGAGGAGGTATAAATAGCCATTGAATTTTTGTTTTAATAATTCTTTTATATCTGTTGTATGTAGTTTCCACAATATACCAGAAAATAGAGAAAGAATTGCCTGATATTTTTACCCAGATTCTATAAAAAATAACAAAATTCTTTCAGTTTATATTTTAATTTCATTTAATTTAATTTAATTGTTTAAGGTCGCATACACCTCGTAGTTATTAGCGACCTCAGTTTATATTTATACGGTATTATAATGAACTTTCATTCACTATTCCGCGATATTTCAAAATATTCAAAAGTTTGTTCAATGCTTCAGCACATTTTTTTTCTAGCGAAACTAAATCCTACGTGGTCAGTGATTTTCAAGTAGAACGGGTCCGAGTTTAATCCGACTTGTACAAACAGTATACCTCAATTATAAGTCAGACATTTCGGGTGTAAAATGAACTCCTCGTCAATTTTTGACCATGTTTTATCTGCACTATAATTGTTCATGAATTATTATAGTACCTTTACGAATTTAAATACAGTTCAGTATTTAAACATATAAATTACTTATTATTGTACACCGTGATTAATATTTATAGTATTATTGAAAAGAAGTTTGAATAGATTTAAATTGAAGTTTCTCTTGCATTGGAATCTTCTTCTATCGAAACCTCGAATTAGTGGTCATTCAGGAATTACAATTCTGCAAATGCAAATCCGGATTCGCGCTTGATTTGTGCCGTTCCTGTACAAATATTTTCTCGTAAAATCTAGCTGTTTCGAGACGAGCTTACGTTTTGCACGAAGTTATTTTAAGCGATTACACTGGAAAATTCATTTTATTTTTTACACAACCGTATGGAATTTATTACACTTTTTATAGACTAATTTTTCTCATTCCTTAGAAAATATTATTAGATTATCAGAAATTCAAAATTATAAAATTTCTTATATTTTAAAATTTTCGTTTCACCGCACTAAATCCCACTCTTATTAATATCTGGAAAACTGGTAGAAGAATAAAATAAAAAAGAGAAAAATAAAACTTTGCAAGGTTCACTAAAAGGCTTCATTATACCGTGATGGAGTATTGCAAAGTAAACAGAACTTTTTCAATCGTTCTTAAAAATTTCACCCGGAAAGTTTGCCGCGTGAAATTGCAGAAAATGCAAGCAAAGCATCCGGGGTGGCCTGTTAATTAGTTGCACTTCTGGCAATCACAAGTTTCGAGAAAATTTCAAATTGTCGATCGACACCTTGTTAGATCGTGGAAGTTCTGACAAGTTTCCTCTATTACTTCTATATTGCACTTTTCCCCAGATTTCTTGCTGGATCTCTTCATTCCAGTCGCCAAAGTGGCCGTAAGTACACACACACAGTGTACACGTCGAATTTCTGGCTACTTTAACGACGTGGTATTTACTCTTCCTTTAAGAAGTAAGCCACAATGGACAGCGGACAAAGTACATAACGAGCTTTTCCTTTTAAGACAGGCCCGATACTCCCCCGCTTCGTAAAAAGAAAATACGGGAAAACTTTTTCGAACAGGAACTATATCGCACTATATTTACTTTCCTTTCGAATCAATTTGTCGACGGAATAGGATTTACGTTAGCAAAGTGTGTGCTGGAAATGCAACTCGAGGGAACGCTTGTTCTTTTCTCTGCGTGTTTCAGAATGTTATAGTTGTCGATATGAAATTTAAAAATTATCGATGTTAAACTGTTCGTTGAAATCTCAATTTCGATATTTTGTTCAGAAACTTGTAATTGTGAAAATGTTGATCATAGAATAGGGTAACGAGTGCAGTTATTGACTTCTATATAATAATTGATCCTTTTCCTTGAAAAGTAGAAAATAAAAAGTATTTGGGCTACGAAAAATAATTATATTTTGTTATTAAACTTTTGAACAGCGGAGCCTGGGTCAGCCGTGACTCAAATAAGGTTACATGTAAAATTTTTATATTAAAGAATTTCATATACTAGAAGAATAATTTATAAAGGGACGATGTAAAATTTAGGAAATTTAAATAATATGAAGTGCAGAATTAAATTAGAATTGTGGTCTTGGGGGTCTCTCCATGGTCCGTCCTTCGAGGGTTTAGAAACGCATTATATTTTATTTTTTACTCTTTTAGGAAAACAGTCAAGCATTGTATAGAGATCAACAACTGTTTACCCTACGTCAGATAATTTTTGTTTTGAATATTATTAGAAAAATTTATATTTTAATAATGAAAACTGCAATATGACTATCCTTTGAAATTCTACACATAAAGGAGCAATTTCATTCTCGTAGATTCTCCAGTTTCAACAGGAAATCAATGAATCAATGAATAAATTATCTGCGTCATATATTTGTGTCAAATGCATTGACTTACACTTAATGTCAGCCACAAATTGTAACCAAATAGAAGCTCCGTTGCACGCTCTTGAAAACGATCCAGACTGTCTGGAATAAATTTATACCTAGATGCGCATCGTTCTGTCGTCGGTCTAAGTATGCACTTAAAGCTCGAGTCGGTTTTTCATTCGACCCGTTGAAGTTATCCTGAAGAGACGCATCGAGTCTTCGCTGTAAACGCGTTTCACACCCGATCTGACAATGTGTTTCAATAAACAAAATTTGCATATTAGTCTTTGATTAGATGAATAAGAAAATTATCAGAATTTTAAAATTTTAAATTTTAAATTTCAAGCTTTCTATTCTTCATACTTTACATTATTAATATGATAGTAATATGTAGTATTAAGAATAATATTTTTTTCTTATTTTCTTATTTGCTTTATTGAAAATTAAGAAGGTACATACCTTTTCAAAATTACGCTGAGTTAAAGTTCTTGATATATGTAAGGACATGAAAAGACATCAGTGAAGTTCGACGAACTCAAGACAGGATGTCGATGGGCGTAAAATTTGAAGCTGCTCGTCAAAATGTTTAACTTCTCTAGCCTTTCGACTTTCTATCAAGTTTCACCTTACAGCGGTTTTAGTATAGTACTCGTCATCTTTTCAAGCACCTACCACTTCTCCTTCGACCAAGAATGTCACTCTTATATCTGAAACTTCACCGTGTCCTTGCCGCATTTTCACTTTATTCCCCGTCAGAATTTCTTCCCTTCCTTTCGCAAAATTTTTCTCCGTTTCAACGAAACTTCCATGCTTTTTGAAAGACATGAAAAATACAGGGGCGTGAAGTTTGTCGTTGTACACTTTGAATACACGTACAGGAACGAAATCTAGGAGAAACAAATTTACCGAGCGCAATCCTTGTGTTTCTCTTGCGACAGAATTTTCTATCGACTTTTTCTTGCCTGATTCTGCAGGCGATATCTTAACTTTAGCTTCTTTCTTCGTAAAACTCGCAAGATGTTACTGGTGAAAAAGTTGAAAATGAACACGCGATGCTTTGGAACTTTGAAATCACCAAAAACATGGTGTACATTCGAATTAAAATTGAAAGTAGAATAAAAGATTGTGGTAACGTAAATGAATATAATTTATTAGAATGTATAATAAAAAGGTTAATAAATAGGATACGGAATTTACATCAAAGTAGCTTGTAAAATCAAAGTTCTTCGTTCTCCAAAAATCAACTCAATTCTTTCCCACTCTGAAAAGGTACTCTCAGAATCTAAAACTAAGGCCTCGCTCAGAAAAACCCTCGTCGACTCTTTGGGTCTGGTTTTCGTCACTTTCTCTTTTATGGCCCTTTTCTTGTCTTTAAAAATATAAACTACTCTAAGTCCTAAACTACGATGCTACAAAATTAATTTAAAAAGTCAGGACACATAATTGAAGGAATATCGCGAGTGACTATTCATACGTAAAGAGATTTCCATTAGCCGTACGAAGCTCGCGGTCATAAAGGGTAACTAGGGTTGCAATATTGTAGAGAGTACACGTATTCATTTTCGCGCTGGCAGTCGGTGTATTAACCATTCAGCGTTCATACACACGCAATCAAGCAACGAACCGAGCCATCTACGAAACTTCTCAATGACCCGGCTATGAAGTTGCAAACTTAACGGTGTTTCACGGAACACCGGTACGGTGGTACGTGTGTTTTCTAAAGGGTTGAACGCGGCAAGTGAGTCAGGCACGTGTCACGTTTACCGGGAAATAGACATAGAACTTGCTACCTAATGTTCTCTTCATTAACCGGTCGAGTGCATCGCTGAAAGCACACTAGCGCATTAATATGTACGCGACTTGGAGTGATTAGACCAAACGACAGTTCTACATTGGTTCGTCGCTACGAAGCGGAAGTACCCGCGCTTGTAAACGTGCATCTCGAATTCTGTTCGCACAGGCAACACAAGCGTTTCCTGAATTATTGCTCGCCAATTGCTGGATGACATTCGTCGGCCAAGCTTCTAGGTCAGAGTGCCCGGCTTTCCGCCACCATAAATGACTAGCGTTTCAAGTTGCAAATGCACTTTCTGTCAAGAATTACCGTGGGCTATAGAGATGTTAACCAAAACTTTTGACGAATCAATGAGCTGCTGCGTTTGATAATTCATTCCGTTAGTTGAGTTTACGAGATGCTTGTCAAACTCTGTCATTTCAACCAGAATTAATGCATCGTGCTTGCGATACGTGGTTAGTTAAACAGAATGGGTAAGGAAATGTTTATCGAATAATTTACCGCAGAGGGATGAGACTGGGGTTAAAAGGGTACTCTGTTCGCTTTGTTTAAATCCATCTTTGTGTTTCGAAAGCAGTACACGTTGACATCATATCCGTGAATAATATGTTTCAAATATTAATGATTAACATGGTAGCATGGTGGAATTAATGCTTAAATATTTATAGAATATTTTGCATACCACTTCGAAAAATGAAAATTACTTGAAGCACGCAGGTTTACGTTATATTAAATTTCTTTTTCAGGTGGATCCTTAACCAGTGCTTCGTTGTGCCTCGTGACTTGAGTAATTTATTTCGTCTGGCAATTAATGTAAGTAATAATTCTTCCTTATCAATGAATATATTATTCTTCTTAAGATTTGGAAAAGAAAATTGCACCAATTCTTTTCTTTAAATTTAAATAAGAATATTAAACTGCTCAAATCAATTATAAAATTTTGACTGTTGATTGACTTTTTAATTTTCAAATTTGATTTACATTTAATTCTATCTATAATTGTAAAGTGTTCTAAGTGAACGCCCTTTTCATAGTAATAACTGGAGTCATTGGATTTTCACTAAAGAACAACAAATCTTAATTTCAATTTGTGCTTATTTTGGCAGAATGAAAATAGCGGTAGTTGTCGTAAACTTGTTTGTTCATTTTCGACCCAGTAACGATAATAACGAACGGAAATTAAATTCGTGCGCAAACCCTACGAGCTAGAAAATTTGATGAAAATTTGAGCCCTTAGAGATACGTCTGTAGGTAAATAAGTCGCGAAATTGAAATCCAGACGTGGAATTTGAGATCGGGATCGGTGTTTACACGAACGAACGTTATTTCAAGGAAAAATAGAGAATTCTTTAATCAATGACGACTGGTCGGAAGCAGTGAGAAAGAGAGATCGGGGTTTAACTTGTGCGGAATTGGATTCCTGGCACCGACCATTTACACCTGAAAATTACTCGATCGCAGTCCTGCAATTTCATCTTGTAGCTTTTACTTTGTGAACGTTCGGAATTCTTCTTTAGTCTCGGTATGATCTTTCAGATCATAGAGTTTCTTGATAACCTGGAAAAATAATCTTACAGATCTGATTAATCCGATTATTCTCAGTTTCGTTAGAAATAAATATTTCTATTTTACAAACAAAATAGTATAGCCTCAAATCATACTCGTCATTTGTATACTTCAGATCTTTGTCAGAAAGTACAATTAGAGATGTTATGAATTCAATAAATAATTTGCAGATTAATATTGGCGCCGATAGTTTAGTACACGTTGAGGTCTCGTACAATATGTTGTTCGAAACTTTGACCAGAGAAGTTAAATTGTGAGACAATATTCACGCTGCACCAACATTGATACATGAAAACCACAGAATTTGAGTTTGAATTAGTTAACTATAGAAGCACTTAAGTCTACCGAAAGTTTACATTCGTCCTATACAATGGCTAACTGTCAATTAGTTCCATTTTGCATAGCACTCCTTTTATTGTCATTTTCCTCGGGAAAGCCTGATTTGATTGCGAATGTACAACAAATATCTTAATAAATTTAAAATCGTGCTAGAAATCGAGTAGCTGAAAAATTCGTTCGTTTCGTGATTTCTGTGACGAACATTCTGTTGATAGAAAAATTTATGAGGGTCAACAAGAGACAAGCTTTTTACCGAAAGATAAAGTCGTCGAACACCGTCAAGACGTTTCAATAATGGAAGCTTCATCTCTTCGTGGCAAACCACGCGGTTAACGTTCTTTCTCCCTAGCTTTTGTCCACGGAATGGTATTCTCGTTGCTTCTTTCATTCCTAGGATATTTCCTTCCCTTCGCCGTTATTTTTCCGTTGCTTCAGATCCATTGTGAAGATCCAACCGTTAAGAGGACTCTGTTCTTGTTTTTTTCTTTTTACACACAGAAGTCAGCGTTTTATTTTCACATGCTTCTCCGTTTTCGATTTTGCTACGCTTTTCGAGGAAAATCGTTCGTATCGCGGTTTTCTTAACGTCGTTAGCCTCCATATGCATTCAAACGACCCACTTTCCCTGAGATAATGCCGGGTAACCAACTTGGCGCTGTTAACTCGACCCTTTCTTCCGCAATTCAATATATCTCTTTGGTAGAATTTTAGTGCGAACATAAATTACACGTAGGGAGTTTCCCTAGTACCGGACGGCACCTAGTATCGGACATTAGCTATATCTAAAAGAACTGAAATGTGGAAAAATTGTTTCAACCGTCAAAACAAAGGAGAGGATAAAACAAACGTTTGACGAAACAATTTTGTCACATTTCAGTTCTTTTAGTTGTAGCTAATGTCCGATACTAGGTGCCGTCTGGTACTAGGAGAACTCACACTACTGTATTTACAGAAAGTTTCATTATCGAGGGAATATTCCATTTTGGTCTAGCGGAAATATCGATGAAACCCTTTGCATTGATATTAATATTTCACCTGTCGAGCAACAGAGTAACATATCCTCGCGATTCTGTAAAGGGGAGTTGAAACTTTTTTAATTTCAAATCGCAACGCTTTCTCGTTTCACCATTTCAAATCGTTATTGAACTACGTGAAACGGGGAAATAAGCATTCGATGCCAGAAGTAGCTATTAATGAATTACGTGTCACGATCGGGATTACACGGGGCAGGATTTCTCGTTTCCGAACGAAAGTATGAAATCTACGGGTAGAAATTCCGATCCGTAATCTTCGATTTGATCGCTTTGATTCCCCGGGTGAGAATTTTAATTAACCGATCCACGTCCACGGGGGAGCAGCCCGGATGAAAGGTAAACGGAATCTAAGTGCTTTGGCCACGGTCGAAGCGAAAGTTTGCGCGGGAATTTAACTCGGTTACATTCGCATTACAAGAAACGCAAACAGAAATTGAATATTACATTGGAAACAGTCTTGGATGCTTCTGACCGTAGTTAGTAACGTTCATTCGTTCCACTTTAGCAATAGCGTTGTTGTTCATGAAATTCAATCATTTCTCGTGGAACATTTCCAATGAAGTTTTCGAACTTCACTGTTGTTCAGAAACATTAAGAACTTTGTAATTTTAGTCGACTATGTAATAATTTTACTGATTTTCAATTTTTCCGTATTTTTTGGTGAATGCTTGAAAAACAAAGTATTAAAATTGTTTGTGTAATTTTTTAGAATATCTTGTGATAAAAAATGTATTCTATTTGTGGGATAAAATTCGAGGAAATTCTAATAATATCTTTATCCTCCTATTTGAATATTTTCAGAAAGGATTAAATTTTTGAGGTAGGTGTCTATTTTGAAACGGATGTACCAGGATCTAAAGATACAACGAGCGTTGTATCGTGTTACCATTAAAAATATAACAAAGTATTCGATATCGAGCAATAGTAATTGGGAAGCAAAGAAACTCATTTCGATTGGTATCCGAGGAAACTTTAGATACTCGATTATTCCCTGGTGACCGATATCCTTTCATCCAAACTGATATCACCTGAAAGGATTATCACCTTTCTTTATTCGCGTGATTTCTCTCATTTCTTTCGATCGGTTTCTCGATCCTTTGCATTGCTCTGCGTTTTTCCTTCTAAAGTTTCCAAACGAACGTTGAAATGCGTTGCTTGCGGAAAGGAAGGTTCGAGCTATTGGAATTCCAGCAAATTATCGATCTCGAACAATGATTTTAGAAATACCGAAGCGTCCGACAACGGACGACGACATTCCTGAAATCGTTGCTGCTTTGACATTTGTGCTAGAACCGTGTTCTCCCGATACACACAGTTTTTAATGAAAATTCACCGTTGCATACCTAGGTCAATATTAAACTGCTCGCATTATTAGGAGAAAAATTAAATATAATTTTATAAAAAATTGCGATTAGAAAGTTTTCCATGCATAGATAAATTATATTTTGATATTGCCTTACTTGGGGAAGATTAAAAAAATAGTTTTGTAATTAATAATTTTGTTAAAATTTTCTAATTTTCTAATTTCCAACTTTATTAGATTTTTCTAGTTTTCTAATTTCGAATTTTATTAGGAATGTGGGTCACGCACGGAGTACATCGATGTTAAATAAAACTGTAGAAGTAATTTTCGGATTAGATACAAGAATTCGTATCGATCCTCTACGAACACGAAGATACATTTTTACTGCGAGAAATGTTTAAGGATTCCTTGAGCTCCTTTATAATCGACGATAGGCCAATGTTTCATCCTTACAGCAAGATTTACACCCGATCTTTTAAACGTATGTTTTCTTGGCGTATAACGCTGTACTTCTAAAGATTTACGTGATAATTCGCATAAATCGTTGGCCAAGAATTTCTTTGGGATTATAATTCTTGAAGTAGAGCGTAGATTAAAGATCGGAATCTCAATTACTTTTTGAAAATTATAGTGTCTGGTATCGTCTGGGTGATTGGTGGTTCTTGAATTAGATTGAAGATTGCAATTTTTATTATTTTTTGAAATTTATCATGCATCCTATCGTGTGGGTTATTCGGAATCTTCATTATTTTCTGATGTTAATGATATCTCGTCTTGTCTGAATCACTGATAGTCTTTGATACAAATTAAGGATTAGAATCTTTATTTATGTCACACTTTTGTGTCATGAAATCCTGTCAGAATAACAATGTTCCGAAATCAGCCATTTAAAATGCAGCAACCTAACACAAGAAGACAACGAACATAAATGAAACTTTTAAAACGTATAAAAAAAAGATTCCCAGGAGGCGCGTCGTGTTTCCTTCGCCTTTACTTCTCCGTTACGATCGTTTCGATCATCAAGAGATTAAGCGAAAAGTAAAAGCAGCTCGTCAAAATGTAAATCTTCTAAAGTCCCAAAACGTTTTCCCAGTTCGTGCCATGAAAAAAAGAACGGATATTCTTGATTGTTGATTCTCCGGAAAAAAGATTTTCTCCTGTGGATTGTAATTTCCACGCGAAGACAAGATTCGTGTTTCTTCGTTGCGATGTGACAAGTCCGATTAACGCGACACAGTTTGGAGACACAACCCGGGTCCAAAGCGAACAACGAAATTATTCGGAGGACCGGCGAAAGTCGAGACAATGAAGACGTAGCCGGAAGCTTTCTGCTGTACACTCGTAATTATGTGAAGCCCTGGGGTCCTTCGGGATGCTGGAGAACCAGGACGATACGCTGCAAATGCAGACAGATGTAGCCCCAGTTGAAAGATGGGAAGAAACAGGAAGAGGACTACACTCCTGGAAGAATGTTGTCTACAAGATACAAGCTTCTGCTTTCTAGAAGTGTTGTATGAAAACAAAACATATCAAATGTTTACTTCCAATTATCCATATATTTGAAAATAATC